CTGTCCTGGATCTCGCTCTGTAGCCCAGGCTAGCCTCGAACTCAGAGATCCACCTGGCTCTGCTTCCCCAGTGCTGGGATTACAGGTGTGCACCACCACTGCCCAGCTTCTCTTCCTTTTAAGTTGTTTCCATCAGGTATTTTTGTCATGGCAACAATGAAAGTAACTAATACATTGGACTTGCTCAGTACCAACACAAGCACATCTTGATGGACTATTTATTGATAATGCCTCTATTAAGTAAAACAAAAACAGCTTAACCCATCAGAGCTGCCAATTACCTATACTTCTACTACAGGCACCTTTCCACTGATTCAGATCAAACACTAGGGCTTTGTGATTACAACCCGTGAAATACTTCTGGATTGGCCTTATAAAAGCCACTCATCTCCTTGGGTCCCCCCTGTGGGATCCATGAAGATGTTGGGCGTTTGCTGACTCCTGCATTGCTATTCACTCAAATATGCTTCAAAGAGTCTGTGTGTCGGTTTGCTGCTTTATGATGTCCAATGTAGATTAAGTCCGGACCTCATCCTGAGAGGCCGCTGTGGTAGTTACGATGTGAGCCACAAATAACAGACCCTCCCTGGCCCGTCCGGAGTGTTAAATGTCGGGACTGGGACGTGAGAACTCTGCTGAAGTTGCACCCATTGTGGCCCTCGAAAGTCCTGACTCTTCACCTGGAAAGACCCTGCCTAACCCCAAGGAAGTTTGTGAGACGATATGTCTAAGAAGAGCACATGGCTCCCAGAATGACCTCGGTCATGTCGGCCCCGAACTCTGATCTTCCCCCTCAAGGGTCAGAAGAAGGAGAAACCATCCTGGGATGGAGGAGAGGCCTTGGCTGTGGCGGTAGGAATCAAACAAGAGAAGGGTGAGGTCACGGGGCAAATGCTCTGAGAGCCTGTGGGTGGCTCCCAGATGTGGATGTGGCTGCCAGGGCAAGGGTCCCGACAGCTGGGATCTGCAAGGGACCTCTCTCCAGGTCCTGGCCTAATCGCTGAGGGAGTGGTGGGGAACTTCAGCGTGCTACTGCAAAAAGTTAGAGCCTTGCCAGGCAGTGGTGGCGGTGCATGCTCTTAATCCCAGCACTCGGGAGGCAGAGGCAAGTGGATCTCTGTGAGTTGGAGGCTAGCCTGGTCTACAGAGTGAGTTCCAGGACAGCCAGGACCATTTCACAGAGAAACCCTGTCTTAGAAAAAACAAAAAACAAAACAAACAAACAACAAAAAAAAAAAAGGTATAGCTTCCATCAACTGATGATGCTCAAAATAGAACCGGGCTTTTAGAGCTGAGGACATAGACCCTGTCCTGAGGGGTCTCAATGGTGGTGGGGATGGTAAGACACAGACTCACAGATAACAGATCTCCTTGGCACATTCTACCGCCGAATAAGGGACAATGGTGTCCCTAATGCCAACCTCAAAGATGCCATGAAGAACAGGAATCGCCACCATTTTCCAGGGGTTACAATGTACAAGGTCCATAATGAGACCCTTCTGACCTGGCCTCAAGTCTCCCACAACCTCTTGAAAGAATTTTTTTTGCAGGATCTCACAAAGTTGCTTGGACAGACCCCGAGCTCACTGCAGCTCAGGCTGACTTTGAACTTGTGATCTTCCTGCCCTGGTCTCTCCATTACAGATGGATGCCGCTGTACATGCGTGGGAGGGGCTGTTTTTATCCTTGCTTTCCCAGATGGGAAAGAGAAGGCTGTTGGAGGCAGAGGAGTCCCCCTAAGTCCTGTCAGCCTCAGGGACAGAAGAGTTAGATGAGCGCTGGTCTGGAGCCAGCCGCAGCTGCACCCCCATGCTGGACTTCTGCTCAAAGGAGCCCATGCTTCGAGCTCATCTGCGGTCACTCCCCCATTCTTGGCATAGTGTCCAACCAGTGCGCGCTCCCAGCTGTCTGACCCAGCAGTGAGATGTCACCGGAGTACTCCGTCGCTTCTAGCATGCTGCCAGTGTGTGTGAAAACTCCTGGGCTAGGCTTGGAGCTCCGGGGACAACGGCCAAGAAGCAGCCCACGGTGCCTTCCTCACAGTGCAGAGTGTCTGGACACATGTGTAACGTGTGTGGTGGGGGGGCTTCCATCAGACCGCGGGCCAGGGCTGAACCTGACAGGTACAACGCCTCACAGTCTTATCACCGGTCACTCATGAGCTTCTTAAAATATCTTGACAGGGCGAATTAAAAATAGCAAGGGCATTGGTGACCCAGACTGGTGGAAGTGTCCCGGGGCGTTGGCATTTTCTCTCTTGCTCTTGAGGACCTTTCGGTTTTCATATGACCCAGTGAGTTTTGTTAGGATTGTTTTTCCTGGAGCATGGGTAACTTGCCACACCTACATCATTGAAGAAAATGTCTCCCCCTTCCCTAGCAACCACTAACTGCCTATCAATCCTCAGGGAGGGGCGGAGCCTCATGAGCTCTTCCTCCTCCAGGACAAGGTGTCGAGGGCCCAGATCTTGTGCAGGTAATCACAGTTGCTTGAATTCAAGAGTTCAATGTCATACCTGCAATTCTGCACCATGTCCCCACGTCCTCCCACTCTTCTGTTCTTTCTGTGATGTTTCCTGAGTCTTAGAAAGGTTGATATGGATACACTGCTTATGGCTGGCCATGCTTATTCACCCATTCTTACCACTCCGACCAGTTATGAGTCTCTGCATTTACCACTGCCCGCTGCAAAGAGAAGCTTCTCTGTCCAAAGCTGGGTATAAATGTAATGATCTAGAAGGCTGGTCAGCAAGAATATTGTGTCTACTTAACAAAGCAGTAGCAATAGCTTTCCTTGCTGGGGCCTGTGACCTCCCCAGCCACGGACTTTTGGCTAGGTTTGCAGGACCGGATGTGAGTCCCTTCCTGTGGAGTGGTCATCAAATTCTACAGGAACGCAGTTGGTGACCTCCACAACAGTCATGCCACTGTACAGCAATGGGCACATCTTGCCTGACCAGTCAGAAGTATTACACACAGAGTTCACAGCTAAGTCAGACAGCTGGCATCCATCCCCCAGCAGCCTACATAACACTTCCCTCACTATGAGGGCTAGTTAGCAATGAGGAAGCTTCCCGCTCTGCTCCAGCTTGATTCCTCTATGTCCTTTGACCACAGAACGTCGTGTCCTCAGCAATAGCCATCTGGCCTGCAATAGCATCTAGTTCTGGTGGGCAGCCAACCCTTTGCTGACTTGCTCCTCTCTGGCTTCCCTCACCCGCCAGCATGCTCAGCGACAGTATTCTGGAGCCCCTTTCCTTGGCTCTGCTGTGTTAGGCACACTCCCTCCAGGGCGGCCTCTGACCCCAGCTGTGCCCAGAATCAGTCTTGGTAAGCCTCCCACCGAGCAACTTCAGGCCACCTGAGCCCAGCAGAATCCAGGACTTGTGGGAATGTAAGGATCAGCTTAAGGGCCCCGTCCCTCAAGTCACCTGGCCTGCCGGGTCACTTCCCACTTCTTCACCCGAGACCAGCTTTGAAGCTTCTATTTTCTGTGTGTGACATTAGACGTGTGGTGGGAAATCACACACATGATCACGCAGACTGTGTGCTCAGCAGAGTTCCCAAGGTGGACAGAACCATTGCAGCCCCAGAGCTGTTGAAGGACCCGTGGAACTGAGCAGGACGGTGGTAATGAAGGATGCAGGGACACAACTCACAGCCACGTGGGACACGCAGCCCTGCTGCTGAATCCTGCTCTCTTGGCTCCAGCAAGGCCATGACAGTGCAGCACAGAGAGCAAGCTCTCTCATATTTGGTGGAAAACCTGTGGAGTATGAGTACATGGAACACGGCCATTTTGTTATATAAGCTTTTGTGTATATGGCGATTTTGTGTGTGTGTGTGTGTGTGTGTGTGTGTGTGTGTGTGTGTGTGTGAATGCTGGTGCACATTATGCCATGGCATGGACGTGAGGACAACCAACTGCTTGGGTTGGTCCTCACCTTCTGCCTCATTTGAGAGAGAGTCTTGTTTTGCTTATGTGTCTCAGGCTAGCTGCCAACCAGATTCTGGGGGTTCTGTCCCCCATCTCCCATTTCTTGTAGGTACACCAGGATTACAGATGGTACCAACTTCACGTGGGCCCTAGGGATTCAAACTCAGGACCTCCTGCTTGCACAGTGTGTTAACTAGTTTTATGTCAACTTGACACAGGCTCAAGTCATCTGAGAGGAGGGAGCCTCAATTAAGAAAATGCTTCCATGAGACCAAGTTATAGGCAAGTCTGTGGGGCATTTTCTTAATTAGTAATTGATGGCTGAGGGCCCAGCCCATGCATGGTAGGTGGGGCCATCCCTGGGCTGGTGGTCCTGGGTTCTATAGGAAAGCAGGCTGAGCAAGGCATGATGAGCAAGCCAGCAAGCAGCACCCCTCCATGGCCTCTGCATCAGCTCCTGCCTCGGGTTCTTTTCCTCTCCAACTTGCCTTTGGTCATGGTATTTTATCAGAGCAATAGAAACTCGAAGACACACAACAAGCCATTTTATCCACTGAGCGCCCCCCTCCAGCACCCTACCCCCCACTCCCCCCACCCTCCCGCTGGCTGTGGATTTCAGTCACTTGAAAGCATCATTTCCTGTACTCAACTGGGAAGCCTGAGGGATAGTCTCTCTGCCAGCACTTCCTCTCATCAAATTCCCTCTGGGAACCCCGTGTGGGTTTTAATCCTGATCCTGCCTTAGGACTTCTCAGCCTTGGAAATGACTCCGTTTCTCGCTCTTACTCCTGAGAGAGACCTCGAAGGCAGGAGTGGACATGGAGGATTTGAAGTGCCCTGCTCAGGCCCTCCTCTTGCTGCCCCACACAAACTGGACAGAAGCTGGCATTTTTCCGGTATCTTTGCCTCCTGGGTGTTGTGTTTGCCAGCCAGTCCCCAGGTGGGAAAGGATTTGCAATTCAACACCCTGCTCTTTGCTGGGGCCCTTGTGACTTGGCCCCGGCTCAGTGAAGGGAAGCAGCTTTGCCTACTCCGGTGTCACCAGGCCCAGCCTCCAGCTCCTGAGCTGGTGTCCCCGAGGGTCATTTCTCTCCAGACGCTGAATGAGGAGGTGGCTAGACCCCCGCAGGTCTCACCATGGCGGAACAGGATGATATCTGCAACCCTAAGTGGGAGGCGCCACGGGACAAGAGCTCCGTGGATTCGGCATGGTCGTGGGTAAGGCTGCCTGTGGCTGTTTGCAGACTCAGCCTCTGCCCCCAGGCACAGCTGTGTGGTTCTGTGTCCAGAGGGTCCATTCGGGAGGGTCCTGCCTTCACGGTATCCAGCCAAGTGCCCTGCAAGCTCCCCCTCACCACGGCTCTCATGGAGGCTTGTTTATAAGTTGTTGGTGCTGATTCAGGACTTAAAACCTGGTTTCTTTGCCCTGGATGCCAAATGCTCAGTGTGTGCTTTGACCATGGGCGTTTTCAGCCCACCCCCCAACATCAGGGAGGAAGGCAGAGGCTTTCAGCCCCTCCCCCCCCAACATCAGGGAGGAAGGCAGAGGCATGAGAATAACTCCTGTCTGGTACGGTCATTTACAGCATCATGTATGACATGTCTTCCTTGGACTCCGAAGCTCTCGGCTCTTCTGGACCGCCTGTTTCAGACCTCAGGATAAGGGACTTTGTTCAGATGTAGTTATGTTCACGGAAGACCCCAAAGCCCAAAGTGGGGGGGGCTGAGATCACCCCAAGTGGCAGTGAGTGTTGAGGCTAGGACGTGGGCTACAATTCGGGCCTCACTGTTCCTGAAAAGGCCAGTGGGTTTGGGTACAGTGCGCGTATTGTGCGTTCATACTCCAGACTCAAGTGGTGCCCCTGGACACCCCCTTAATACTATGCTGGGACCCCGGATGTGGGGGCTGGGCCAGCAGCAGGGAGGGCTTTGCGAGCAGAGAGCCCCTGTGACTCTGCATCCTCGGGGAGCAGCCTCCTGAACGCTGGTGCCCCAGAGCATCTGTCACCTGTCAGTTCCCTCAACCTTGATCTCGGGGCAGAGGGTCTGTCTGCCAGGGGCTGCTGTGTGTGGGCGGGGGACAGGCTGCGAGCAGTGATGGGAGCTGATTCTGGATTCTGAGGGAGGTGGCTCTGAACTCTGCCCGTGCATCTGCCCCGTTCATCACTTAGCCCCACGGGCAGATGTAGCCCGAAAGGACCAGTGCTTGGGAAAGTGTTGCCGCAAGCCTAGCCCTGGGGACGGGAGTGACAGAGCCCTTGGAGAATGCTGCTCTGGTGAATCACAGTCACACTCAGATGAAATGAACTGGTTTTGTGGTTAGTCAGGGGTTAAAGGAGCTTTTTTTTTTTTTCTCTCTCTCTCTTTTTCATCCTAGAATGTCACTTACATGTAGCACCCATCCTCAGTTGAGGTGGACACTTACTCTTCCTTTGTGGGCAGGGCTGGGCGCGTACCAGACCTATCGGTGTCCACCATAATGACTGACACTCTGTAGTCCTGAGGGACAGGCCCCATTGTCACGGTGACGTCTGGTCCAGCTCAGGCAGCAGGCATCTAAGGAAGCTGACTGTGAAACTGGGGGTGGTGTAGACTCTGTGGACCCCCCAAGTCCATGCCCATTGGTTCTGTAACCTGAGGAAGCTCTGGTTGAATGTCTGTGTTCTGCTTTTATGTGTGTGTGTGAGGTAGAGGCGGCACAGATGTGTGGTTAGGTGTGTGTGCGCGCGTGTGTGTGTGTGTGTGTGTGTGTGTGTGTGTGTGTGTGTGTGTGTGTGTGTTTAGGACAGAGGTCAACCTCAGGTGCCACTCACCTTGCTTTTTGAGACAATGTGTTTCCTTGTCTGGGACTTGCCATAGAGGCTAGTCTGAGCAGCCAGCCAGCCCCGTTGACCTCTGTGTCTCTGCAGCCACAATTGTGTTCACAAGCGTGTGCCACCACATCCAGGATTTTTTCACATGGCTTTCCCATGGGGGCTCAAACTCAGGTCCTCATGCCTGTGAGGCAAGTGCGCTGCTGACTAGGCTAACCATCCCCTACCCCCCACCCCCCACCCCCACCATGCTTATGTTTTGATCTGTGCTCAGTGAAGACTTGCAAGGAGAGGCTGAGCTTCCTTCTTCAAGGGATTTTTATAATAAAGGGACAAAAGGGTTAGAAAACCACCCTTTGACACCCCCCCCTTTTCTGTCATTTTTTTCCCACTGTCACGTGGATTAGAAAAATGCTCATTCAATAGGCAGAGTCTGCAACAGGTCCCTCCTCTGTCCCGCCATAGTCTGGCTGTGGGGAGCGGGGACAGTGAGGGTGACAGAGTCCATCCTCCAGCTGCTGGAGACACATTGCTGTTGGCTCCCTGCAAGGAGGGGGGTCAGCTCTAGGGTTGCATTTTCTAGGTAGGGCCTTGGGACCTCGACTCAGGCCTCTGCCTTCTGGAAGAATCTGAGCTGTTGTATGTCCTGCCTAAGCAATGCCTTCCTCCGACGGTGGGCATCTCACCAGACTCTGGATCAGGCTCTGGCGATGAATCTTGGGACAAGGGAGTGCCCCGGGGTTGTGGTTTTAGTAAAGCAGAGGAGCTGGGACCAAGTCCAGAAACTGAAGCAGAAGCCCAAACGGACGGATGGGACCAAGGGTGCTGGTGGGAGGCTTCGGAAGATCTGGTGAGCACAGAGGAGAAGAAGGAGCTGCAGCTGCCCTGGCCAGGGGCCCGGGCTCAGCTGTCTGGCTTCTGGGAAGAGTTAAAGCAGCCCAGCCGCCGTGGGGCTGGGCAAAGGGCAGCTGGCAGGGATACAACCCCCCCCCCCCCCGGAGGCACCTGCTCAGTCGGCACCACCCACCTGCTGCGTTGCTGGACGTTGGTCCACATTCACGGAGTCTCTGGGCTCCGTTTCAGGGCCATAGGCAGTTCTGGGTCCCGAGTGTGTGCAGAGCCCAGCAGAGCGGCGGGATGCTAAGCCTGGTCCCTCAAGGAGGTCAGGCCAACTGTGGGTGGGCAGGCTGCAGCGTGCCAGCCACAGAGTTCCTGAGGCCAAGTTCAGGAGTGATTGTGCCGGGCAAGGCCAGGAAGGCGCCTGTGAGAAGCTGTTTTAGGAGCCAGGCAGAGGAGGGGTAGGATTTCAATAAACAGCCAGCAGGGATGGAGCCCACTGGGCTGGGAGGGGAGTTTGAGCACAGGCAATGCTTGAGGGTACAGGGTGTTCCCCACCCCAAGCTGTCTGCTCTCAGGAGTTCTTTTTTTTTTTTTTCTCCCTAGTTGCGACGTGCACTGTGACATTCATCTTGGCTGGGCACTTAGCCTCTGAAAGAGAGCAAGTAGTCACGGGCCAAATATGAGACCCAAAAGGGCAAGGGACAGGAGCCAGAAGGCCTGGGCTCATATGCCAGCTGTGGCATGTGGAACCTCAGTGTCCCTATCTGTAAAGCAATGTTTCTAACATCTAATGATAGAAGACCCACAGGAACGCCATAGACAGCCATTGTCCTTCACACTAGCACTGAACCTGGGTAGGGTGGCCTGTGGCTACGGGCTGTAAATATAAGAGGGACAAGTAATCAGCTTTCGGGCTCGGGGAGGGGGGGCGACTGTAGAGGTGGCCAGGGGCTAAAAAGCACTTGTTGCTCTTGCAGAGGACCCAGGTTCAATTCTCAGCACCCACATGGTGATTCACAATCATCCAGCGTTACTCCAGTACCAGGGCAACCAATGTCCTCTTCTGAACTTCTTCTTCACCAAGCATACATGGGATGCACGCATGTACATGCAAGCCAAGTACTCACAGATAAAATAAAATGAATAAATCTAATCTTTAAAATTTTTCAAAAGTTCAGGGCTGGGCATGTAGCTCTGTTGGTATTTGCCTAGCATGTACATAGCCCTGGGTTTGATCCCAAGCGCTGCTTTAACAAGGCGTAGTGGTACATGTATGTAGTCCCAGTGCTTGGGAAGTAGAGAGAGAAGGATCAGGAGTTGAAGGCCATCCTCGACTACACAGTTAGCTGAAGGTCAGGCTGTGATACGTGAGGATCTCTCTCTCTCTCTCTCCATGTATTTTATTTTATATATTATAAACTATATAACTATATAAAATTTTAGTATATATGTATATATATGTGTGTATATATATAATAGTGTATATATACTATAACACTCACCTAGGTATTGGGCCTATACAACACTCTCACGAGGACATACACATAGAGCCATGTCTCTTCCTCATCTACCCTGAGCGCAGGCTTCATCCAGACAAGACCTTCAGTCAGCCCCAGTCACTCTTGGCTCTGGGATCTCCTCCCATCCTAGTCACACTTTGACTGGGCCATGTCCTTTTCTTCAGAGGTCTCCAGGGAAGTGACCCTTCAGGACCCCAGACCCAAGCTTCTACTTCAGGTCCTGGATGATTGGCTAATGGGATTGCAAAGGGACCACAGAGCGTGTCTGCCTCTAGGGGATTGCCTCCACCTTCCAGATACTTGGACAGGGGCTAGAGGATGATTTCTTGGGGTCGTTTTCTTCAAGGATCTCTGGTAGTTAGGAATAAGGTCTGTGTCTTCTTGGAGCCATGCAGGCTGAGCGCTTGTGTGTTGGGGAATATTATTTGAAGGTGTGTTACTTTTGTTTATGTTGCATTTGTTTAACTCTGTGAAGCTGTGTTCCTGTGCCTGTCTCAGCCAATAGCAAGGCAGGGGAAAGGATAGGCGGGGCTGGTAGTCAGAGAGAATATATAGATGGAGAAATCTGGGAGGGGCAGAAAGAGTGAAAGAAGGAGGAGGACTCAAGGGGTCAGCCACCCAGTCACCCAGCCACACAGCAAGCCACGGAGTAAGAGCAAGATTTGCAGAAGTAAGAGAACGGGAAAAGCCCAGAGGTAAAAGGTAGATGGAATAATGTAAGCTAAGGAAAGCTGGCAAGAAACAAGCCAAGTTAAAGCCAGGCATTTGTAACTAAGAATAAGCCTCCGTGTGTGATTTTTTTGGGAGCTGGGTGGCAGGCCCCCAAAGGAGCAAAAACAAACAACAACACTTGTGTGCCCTGCTCGCCTGGTCCGAGAGCTTTTGCACTTGGGTGGGTGTGGCTGGGGGAGGGTCAGAGAGAAAAACTGCAGGAAATAATGTGCAGAGAGGTGGGAACGGAACTGATGTCTGGTGACAGCCATTTACAAGGGTTCCTGCTCCGGCATCTAGGGCCTACCCTGGCCAGTGTTGGGTGAGCATGAGAGTCTTGAGCGCCCCCTGCAGGTGGTACCCTGCCATCACATGCAGAAAAACAACTGTTCTCTAACGCAGTGAGTGGTTCTCAACCTTCCTGATGCTGCGACCCTTTAATACAGTTCCTCATGTTGTGATGACCCCCAACCATAAAATTATTTTTGTTGCCACTCCATAACTGTAATTTTGCTACTATTATGAATTATCATGTAAATATCTGTGTTTTCCAATAATTTTAGGTGACTCCTGTGAAGAGATTGTTTGATCCCTCAGGGGGTCACAACCCACAGGTTGAGAAACCCTGGTCTAGATAAAGAACATAGGGTACCCAGGCTTTGGAGCCCACTGTCCCTGGATTGAAATTCCAGCTCTGCTGCCTATAAACAAAGCTATTGTCCTTGACACAACTTGCTTTTAGGTTCTCGGGGTCTCTGGTCTTTTATCTTTAAAGCTGGGGCTTGGTGGTGCAGGCCTATCACCCTACACTTGGGACGCTGATGTAGAAGGACCCAAAGTTTAAGGCCAGGCCTTAAACTTTATCTCAAAAGCCAAACCAAGCATAACAGAAAGCATGGGGCTTCAGAATCAGCTTTCCTAGCCTGTGACAAGGGTGAGTGTGTGTGTGTGTGTGTGTGTGGGGGGGGTTGGTGATGCAATGTCTTGTTGTTACTAAGATGTTTTTTTAAAAGTCCTAGGAATTTCTTCCTCATGAAAAATGTATCAGAAGAAGCTGCGGGGGTGGGGGTGGGGGGGGAGTATGCATTAGTGGAAAAGTTCCACAAGCCCCGTACAGCTGGCGGACCCCAGGTGGGCATCAGGCTGATGCTGGCCTGAGTGGTGACCCTGGGGCCCTGCCAGTGACTGGGGCCTCACCCTCCAGCACTCTCACTGCCAAGAACAATAATGACTTGGGTAGGTGCGTCATCCAAAGCATCCATGGCTTCCTCTGCATTTTTTCTTTGACTTTTTGCAAAAAGGACCAGAGGGACTCCGTTGGGTGGTCGTACCAAGGTTTTCAGTGCTGTACTGGGAAAGAAAAAAGTCAGACAGAGTTGTGTAGCGTGTATTTTAATGTGACTCTGCCCACCCAGCCGTCTTGGGAAAGGACAATATTAGAGGATGGACTTTCCCTCACGGGAGACTGTTGTGGCTTGAATAAGAAATGTCCCGCACTGGTTTATATATTGAAGCCCTCTTGAGGACTGTCCTGGCTGGGTTCATGTCAACTTGACACAAGCTAGAGTCATCAGAGAGGAGGGAACCTCACTTCAGAAAGTGCCTCCATAGGATTGGGCTATAGGTAAGCCTGCAGGGCATTTTTAAAATTAGTAGTTGATGTGGTTGGGCTCAGCCTATGGTGGGTGGTATTACCCGTGGGCTGGTAGTCCTCGATTCTATAAGAAAGCAGGCTGAGCAGGCCAGGGGAAGCAAGCCAGTAAGCAGCGCCCCTCCATGGCCTCTGCATCAGCTCCTGCCTCCAGGCTCCTGCCCTGCTTGAGCTCCTCCTGTCCTGACTTCCGTTGATGATGGACTGTCATGTGGAAGTGTGAGCCAAATAAGCCCTTTCCTCCCCAACTTACTTTTGGTCATGGTGTTCCATCACAGCAATAGAAACCCTAACTGGGACATGGATGTTCTGGGAACCTTGGGAGGCAGGGCCTAGCTGGGGGAATCGGGTCACTGGTGGTGTGCATTTGGAGGTTGTAACTGGTTCCTGGTCTTTCCCTTGCTCTCTGCTTCCTGTCGGCCATAAGGAAATGACAGCCCCTGCCACTGTTCTCCCTGCCACGATAGGATGTCCTGCCCAAGCGCAAGGAGCCACGTGACCATGGGTTGAGCCCTCTGAAGGTGTGAGATGATGTAAAAAATTCCTCCCTTGAAGTTTTTTTGGTCTGGTGTTCTGTCTCAGTGGTGGGAAAAGGAAGACATCTGGGGAGTGGAAGTCTCTTCCCTTTGTGAAGCTATCTCAGTAGATGTCCTCCCTCTCTCTCTCCCTCCCTCCCTCCCTCCCTCCCCATTCTTCTCTAAGATTAAAAGTGGATAATTTCATGGCGACCTGAAACAAAACTAACAGATGATTGTCTTTCAGTGGGAGGGCCACAGAGGGAGTTGGCTCAGTTGGTAAAGGGCCAGCCTGTCCAGCACGAGGACCTGAGTGTGGATCCCCAGCATCCACACACACTTTTCATCTCAGCGCTCAGGAAGCAGAGGCAGGCAGATTTGTATGCATCCTAACATGGGCTGGCCCACATAGTGAGTTCTAGGCTGGCCAAGGCCACATAGTGAGAGCCTGTCTCACAAAAGAAAGAAAAACAGAACAAAACAAAAATACCAGAAACCCAAATAAACAAAGAGCCAAAAAGCTGGGCATGGTAGGGTGTGCCAGCACTGGGGGCACGGAGACCATCAGATCCCCGGAGCTTGCTGACCAGCCAGCCCAGCTGAATCAGGGAGCTCCAGAATCAGTGAGAGAAGCTGTGTCCAAAATAGAAGGTGGTGAGTGATTGAGGAAGGCACCCTGGCCTCCGCTTCTAGGTGCTCACACCTGCATGCAAATATGCATACAACAAATAAGTAAATAAAGCAATATGTCAGATAGCCGTCTAAGTGCTGGAGACGGACGCGTGTGTAGCACAAACCCCCATGCCCTCTGGGTGCTTCCGTTCAAGATGAGGAAGGAACAGTAGACAAACAATTGAGTAAACACAGGTCAGGTGAGGCAGAGAGAGTGGCAGAGGACCCACACGGGGAGCATGGTATGGTTCCTTCCGTCTGTTCACCTGTTTGCTTCAGCTTCTTATCAGGTGGTGGCTCCTGATGGACACTTTCATCAAGTGAGGTCATGGCAGAGTTGCAGCTGAGTTTCTACAGTTGTGTGCTGCAGAGTACTGACCGAGGGGGCAATCGGGGCTGAGAGCCAAATCCTGCT